AATCATTTTTAAGCTGTCAATTATCTTAGATTTCTGTAAATATTCATTAATACTCTTAAAAATCTGAAGTTTTGTGACTATGCCAGGCATGGTGGTGGCTCACGCCTACAATCTCAGCACTTCGGGAGGCTGAGGATCATTTGAGCCCAGGAGTTTGGGACCAGCCTGGGCAACATAACAAGACCCCATCTTTATAAAAATTAAAATTAAAAAATTGCCAAGTACGGTGGCATTCACCTGTAGTCCTAGCTACTAGGGAGACTGAGGTAGGAAGACTGCTTAAGCCCAGGAGTTCAGCACTGCAACGAGCTATGACTGTACCACTGTACCCAGCTTGGGTAACAGAACAAGACCCTGTCTCTAAAAAAGAATAATGTTTTGTGACTGAAATATTTATGATTCAAAAATTAGTTTACTAACTTACTCCAAAAAGACAGCAGATTACGTTCGCTAACAAGAAAAATAATCAGCATGAAAGACTATTTATGAATGCAAACATGTCAATAAGTATAATAGTATGCCAGAACACACTTGGTTTATCACAGTGTATTTTTATACATTATACAAGGTAGAAAGAAAATTAGAGTTGGGGAAAAACTGACAAATATAGACCTTAACATGAAAAAGATCTCACTGATAAAAATGTAGATGTAAGCATATATACAGCATTATCAATGTGCAAATTAAAAGCACTGCTTTAAGACTTAAAGAAGGCCGGGCGCGGTGGCTCACGCCTGTAATCCTAGCACTCTGGGAGGCCGAGGCAGGAGGATTGCTTGAGGTCAGGAGTTCAAGACCAGCCTGAGCAAGAGCAAGACGCCATCTCTTAAAAAAAAAAAGACTTAAAGCAAATTCTTTGAGAGATTAGAGTCTAGGCACAATATGCAGGTCTTTAAGGAGCAACTTCTCATTTATCTCAACTTACAACCATCCACACCAGAAAACCTCAGATTTCTATAAAATATTAATCAAAATGTTGAAGCATGATAATTTCTATATAGGGAATTTTTCAAATCAATAGCTTAATTTTTCCATGTAATAAAATGATAATTAGGCACCCAACCACCAAAGCTGTTTCACACTTAATAGTCATTTTTTAAAGATAGGAAAGTAGAAAAACCTGAAAGTTAGAACCAAACAGATGTTATTCTATAAAATCAATCTTATTATTTTGTGATACTTTTCCAAAATCAAATCCTATAGAAAAAGAGAATAGATATGTTAATAGATTAAAATACTCATGATTTTAGAATTGATTTACTCATAGCAATAATTTGAGAGAAAGAATCACTTTTCAATGAAAGGACTTTGCCAATAGTTACTACTTTTTTTAAAAAAAGGCAAAGGAATATATGAACATTATCAGATTGTTTAGGCAATGCTGTTGAAGAAAGCTTGCACATAAGCTTTGCTACTATGGTGTAAACAACTTAAAATACCAACCCTGTGACTGCCAAGACTTCGAATGGACAATGCATCCTCAACTCCCTGATAAAAATAAAAACAAACATAGTAAAAGTTTGTCAGTGACTACATTAAGTTAATGAGGAAAACTATTAGGGGCAAGTCTGTAGGTTATTACAAACCAGATAAGGACGATGATGACTGGACCGGTGAGAATACCTGGCCCTTTCCGAATCTTCCTGGGAAAGGAAAAGGAGAAAGTATGTGGAGAGTTAATCACTGAACAGATAGTTTATCAGAACAACTGAGTAAAGATCAGTCAGTTAACAGCCCAGCAACACTCCCTTAGAGAGCAGTTAGATTTAGACAACTTAGCTTTGGGGAAACCACATTCTTTGGTTAGAAAGAAACATAAATAATCTTGGTAATGTTTTTGTTTTATGAAGTATATGTATGTCTGACCACTTGTAGGATGTAATCTATATATGACCAAGAGAGCTCAATATACCAAGATAAAAATATGCAAGTATACTTAACAAAGAGAAGTTGAGTTCAGCATTAAAAACAGACATACATCTACTTTTTTCATTGTGAATGTTAAGTTTATGTGGGCAGAAAGAAATGTTTACTTTATCACAGATGTATTTTAAGAAGACAGTATATGGCTTTAAAAATATCTGGGTTATAATTTTGTACTCACTGTAAAGATTTCTTTTTTTTCCTTTCACCAACTGGAAAAAAACTAAGTGCAAGATCATCTAATTTTGTCCAATTAACTAGACCCTGAGTATGTGTTGTTAGTAAGAAAAACGACCTATGCTTAGAAAATATTACATAAAGTTGGTAAAGTTATTTTAAGAGTCATGCCTTAAGCAGATTTAAAAAAAAAAAAAAGAACCCATAGCCTAACAGTTGACTAAATTAAACGCAATTCTAAACTTTTCCACATTTAGCTATTAGCAATGGAGCATTAAGGCTTGAGTCATGTGAAATCAAATGGCTAGACCCTAGAACCTAATCACCTGAAACCATAAGGAATTTCTGGTCTTTTAGAATTTTAGAGTCCAAGGTATTAAAGTAATTCGCACTGACTAAAAATCTACACATAACTGTCCGACTGGGCTCACAACTTATCAATGCTCTTTTCCAAAATGAATCAATCAATGCCTCACCACTCCATGGCAATCCAGCATGATCATTATACCAGCGGAACAAATAGATGTGGCCATGTCTGACCATATATTTCAAAATAGAAACAGTAATTCAACTGAAACACCATAGCTTAATCCCTTATTTTGGTCACGATTTTTGAGGATAATTCCAAAAAAATCCTGGTTGACATCTGTTGCATACCCTGATGCATTTGATCAAATCTGTTCTGAATTCTGTTTATAAGCACCACTATGATTCAATTTCCAATCAAGTGTTCTGATCTTCAGGAATTCATCACTGATTTACATTTTTTGTTATGCAACAAACACATGCAGTCTGCAAGAAACCAAGCAAATTTCTTCCCTTTCTTTATCAGGTGATACCACAGAAATTTTGGGGGCATGTGCATTAGCCCAGCAAGGTGGGTTCAGTGGTAACCAGTTTTAGGCTAGTTAGCTTGTTTAGTTTAAAAAGCCTTGCACTAAAGAGGTAAGTTAATTCTACATGCCCCTCCCAGTATTATTTGGGATACCAAGGTGAAATACACGGTTTAAAGTCCAACCTTCCCTTTATTCTATCCTTTCTTTTTATTTCATCTACCACACAAGAGCACTTTTTAAAAACTCATCTAAAGAGCACATCCTATCAAAGATGCAGCAAAAGACAGAAGAATTCATATTTATTTTCAATTTTG